TTCCTTCTATTTTTGAGATGATGATATATTTTTTATCCTTCATTTTGTTAAAGTCATGTGTCACGCTGATTGGTTTGTGGGTGTTGAACAAACACTGCATCCCTGGAATGAATCCCACTTAGGGTGTATGATCCTTTTAATATATTGCTGAATTAAGTTTGATATTTTGTCGAGGACTTTTGTATCTATGTTCATTATGGATATTGGCTTGTAATTTTCTTCTTTGTAGTGTCTTTGTCTGGTTTTAATATAAGGATAATGCTGGGCTCAAAAAATGAGTTTGGAAGTGTTCTTTTCTCTTCAATTTTTTTGAGTAATTTGAGAAGGATAAGTACTAACTCTAAATATTCGGTAAAATTCACCTATGAAGCCATCTGGACCTGGACCTGGACCTTTGCTGGGAGTTTTTTGATTACTGATTTAATCTCATTACTAGCAATTGGTCTATTTTCTATTCAGATTTTCTATTTCTTCAAGAATTAGTCTTGAAGATTATAGGTTTCTAGGAATTTATCCATTCCTTCTAGGTTGTCTAATTTGCTGGTGTATAATTGTTCATAATATCCTCTTAGGATCCTTTGTATTTCTGTGGTGTCCATGTAATTTCTCTTCTATCATTTCTGATTTTATTTGTTGGGCTCTCTTTTTTCTTGATGAATCTAGTTAAAGGCCTGTTGATTTTGCTGATCTTTTCAAAGAACCAGCTGTCAGTTTCACTGATCATTTCTATTGCTTTTTTAGTCTCTATTCCACTTATTTTTGTCCTGCTCTTTATTATTTTCTTCCTTCTAAGAACTTTGGGCTTTGTTTTCTCTTCTTTTTCTAGTTCCCTTAAATATAAAGTTAGATTGTTTGAGATTTTGATTTTTTTTTAAAGATTTTATTTATTTGACAGAGAGAGACAGCAAGAGAGGGAACACAAGCAGGCGGAGAGGGAGAGGAAGAAGCAGGCTTCCCGCGGAGCAGGGAGCCCAATGAGGGGTTCAATCCCAGGACCTGGGGACCATGACCTGACCCGGAGGCAAATGCTTAATGACTGAGCCACCCAGGCGCCCCATGAGATTTTGATTGTTTCTTAAGGTAGGCTTGTATCTGTATAACTACGAACTTCCTTTTTACAACTGTTTTTGCAGCATTCCAAAAAATTTTGGAACATTGTGTTTCCATTTTTATTTATCTCGAGGTATTTTTTTTAATTTCTCTTTTGGATTTCTTCTTTGATCCATTGGTTGTTCAGTAGCATGTTTTTAAATCTTCACGTATTTGTGAATTTTCCACTTTTCTTCTTGTAACTGATTTCTAGTTTCATATTTTGTTTTTGTCAGAAAAGATGCCTGATATAATTTCAATCTTCTCAAATTTATTAAGATTTGTTTTGTGACCTTGCATGTCATCTATTCTGGAGAATGTCCCATGTGCATTTAAAAAGAATGTGTATCGTGCTGTTTTAGGGTGGAATATATATCTGTATATATCTATTAGGTCCATTTGATCTATTTAAGGCCATAGTTACCTTATTGATTTTCTATCTGGATGATCTATCCATTGATCTAAGCGAGGTATTAAAGTCCCCTACTATTATTATATTACTATTTCTTCCTTTACTACCGTTAATATTTGCTTTATATATTTAGGTGCTGCTATGATGGGTTTACAGTGCTGTTTTTGTTGATCCCATTACCATTATGTAATGCCCTTTTTTGTCTTTTGTTACTGTCTTTGTTTTAAAGTCTATTTTGTCTGAGATAAGTATTACTATTCCAGCTTTCTTTTCATTTTCATTTTCATGGAATGTCTTTTTCTATCCCTTCACTTTTAGCCTGTGAGCATCTGTAGATTTTAAGTGAGTCTCTTATAGGTAGCATATACAAGGGTCTTGTTTTTTTATCCAGCCACTATATGTCTTTTGATTATAGAATTTAATTCACTTACATTTAAAGCAATTATTGATAGGTATGTACTTATTGCCATTTTGTTAACTGTTTTCTGGCTGTTTTTGTAGTTTCACTCTGATCTTTTTTTATTCTCTTTCTCTCTTCCCCTGTGGTTTATTTTCTTTAGTGTTATGTTTAGATTCCTTTTTCTTTTCCTTTCTGTATTTACCATAATTTTTTTATGTGGGTGACTACCATGAAGTTCACATATAACATGTATATAACAGTCTCTTTTAAGTTGATGGTAACTTAATTTTGAACATATTTCAAAACTTGATACTTTTACTCACACCCTCCATGTTTTAGATGTTTGATGACACATATCTTTTTTATTTTATGTTCCCTTAACTAATTATTGTATTTTAAATTAACTTTACTAATTTTGTCTTTCACCCTTAACACTTCCATTATAAGATGCTTATCTACTATCTCTATTACTTATTTACCTTTACTGCTGAGATTTTTATTTTCACGTTTTGTTAATTAATGCCTTTCCTTTTTAGGTTAGAAAAGTCCCTTTAGCATTTCTTGTAAGGCCAGTTTAGTGGTAATGAACTTCCTTAGCTTTTGCTTACTTGGAAAACTCTTCATCTCTCTTTCACTTCTGTGTTGGGGAGAGTATTCTTGGTGGCAGTTTTTTTCCTTTCAGTGTTTTGAGTGTTATTCCACTTCTTTCTGCCCTTTGCAATTTCTGCCGAAAAATCTGCTGATAGCCTTATTGGGTTTCCCTTATATGTATTTTTTTTTCTTTTGCTGCTTTTAAGATTCTCTATTTATCTTTACCTTTATCATATTTTAATTATAATTGGTCTTGGTGTATTTACTTTTGGGTTCATCTTATTTGGAACTCTGGACCTGCATGTCTGTTTCCTTCTCTAGGTTAGGGAAGTTTTCAGCCATTATTTCTTCAACTAATTTTTCTAGCCCTTTTCTTCCTCTTCTCCTTCTGAGGCCCCTAGAATGCAAATGGTATTCCATTTGATGCTGTCCCAGAGGTCCCTTAAGGTATCTCGTCTTTTAATTCTATTTTCATTTTGTGGCTCTGAGTGTTTTCCATTGCTGTCTTACAGCTTGCTAATTCATGCCTCTAATTCATCCATTCTGCTACTGAAACCCCTAGAGTATTTTTTAGTTCAGTTATAACTTATGTTTGGTACTTTCTTATATTTTCTACCTCTTTGTTAAAGTTCTTGCTGTGTTCATCCATTCTTTTCTCAAAATTGGTGAGCATCTTTATGGCCATAGCCTTGAACTCTTTATCAGGTAGACTGCTTATCTCCATTTCCTTAAGGTCTTTTTTTCTGGGACTTGCTTTGTTCTTTGGTTTGGAATCTGTCTTCTCATTTTCCCTGTCTCTCTGTGTTTATCTATATGCATTAGGTACAATGGCCACCTCTTTCAGTCTTGAGGTAGTGGGCTTGTATAAGAGCTGCTTCATGTGGCCCAAAAACACAGTCTTCCTTGGTTACAGACCCAGTCCCTCTATGGACATCCCTCATGTGGGCTGCAGTCCTAGCTGTCTATAAAAGGGATGCACCTGCTGTATGGGATAAGTGAGACTCAGGGTACTCAGCCAGCCCAGTTTTGGCTTGGTAGCTGTGTAAATAGGACAGGGGTGGAACGTTCACCTGATCCAGCTGCAGCTTGTCTGCTACATTAGGAGGGTAGAGCTCAGGGAACCTGACCACATGTTTGCATCCTGGCTGCTAAATGGGAAGGATGGGGCTCAGGAAGCTTGCCCATCCTAACTGTGGCTAGATCTCTGCACAGGGTAGGTGGGGTGCAGAGTATTTGTCCAGCCTGGTTACAGGACAGGATGGACAGAGCATGCCCTCTGGTGCTAGCAGGCTGGAGGAAGGGCATGGAAAATGGCACTCCCCGATTCTGTCACCAGCAAGTTAGGATAAGACTACAAAAATGGTGCCCGCCAGAGCTTTTGTCCCTGGATAAAGCCCCTGCAGGTTCCTGCCTCTCTAGCAGCCACTTTAAAATTACTAAGTGGGTCTTCTGTGCTTATGGTCTGAGTGCTTTTCATTCTGTTGCTTTTGTGCTAGATCTCAGGATGAATGGGTTTGCACATGAACCCTTTAAGAGTGGAATCTCTGTTCCCTGTAGTTCTGTGTTTCTCTTGGTCTTAATCCCTATCAATTTTCAAAACCAGATGTTTGGAGATCTTGTCTTTCCAGTGCCAGTCCTCTGAGTCAACCCCTTCGCTCATTGAAGAAGTGCTCTTTGTTTTTGGGATCCCTCCCAATTGTGGAGTTATCATGTCTGGGGTAAGATCATGGGCAAGGCCATGTTTCTGCCTTTTCTACCCTACTCCATGTATCTCTTTTGTCCCTTGTTATGGGGTGCTGTGTTCAGTGCTAAGGTCCTTTTCTTTAGAAATTATTCTACATGTAGCTATAAATTTGTTGTGTTTATGGGAGGAGATGTGTTTAGGGTCCTCCTGTGCCACCATATTGAAACCTCTACCTCTATTTTTAATTTAAATATATAATTTTAGGTTGATTTTAAATGTTTAAATATTAACTCTTACAAAATAGATATATTGGTCTATTTCCTCAATTTTCATTGTTATTTATTGCTTAACCAAGACTATCTAAGACAGACTACCAAAAGCAAAAAAGGGTTAAACATCATAGCTAACCTTTTAAACTATAAAAACATTTCTTACAACATGCTTTAGAGCCAAAGGATACTTCCTACCTCAGCTCTAGTTGCTTTCCAAAGCCCAGGTACCTAGATGACAATCATTCCAGAGAGTTTCTCAAAATTGTCTTTTAGTTTTTTGTTAGACGTTCAAAAAAATTTTTGAGGGAAGTTTTAAAAAAAGCATATGTGATTTTATGAAAGCTAAAATGTTATTCTCTTCTATTTTAGACTGAGCCTTACAACTCATTAAAGTCTTTCATAACTCGCTGTGATAAATGATCTCTGCTTCAGAACTACAGAATAGCCCAACAGCACGGGCTGAACATTACAAAACTTAAGTAAGTAACAGTAAGATCTTTTTCTCTTGACATCATCAATTTAATCTAAAGTTATCAAGAAATCACCACTTACTTATGGCTACTAGCATATGGGCCATCTTGATGTTATTATAAATCCAGCAAGCTCCTTTAGCTCCACATTCATTAATATCCCACAAAATACATGTGCTGTCTATTGTGACACCAAATATAATTGGTCCAGGTATTGTGCCTAGAAGAATTATATGTGAAATACACAATCAGTAAAGATTACAATCTATAGTTAACAGGTTTTTATATACATGGTTATAAATATATTTTATGTAAATAAGACTAGGAACTAATCTGTCCATATACAGATCAGGTCATGTGCAAGTAAAAGTGATAGAAAGAAATATAGATAAAATATTCTAAAATAATTAAATAATTACTATATATTTCTAATCAACTCAGAAAGTTATTTTAATAAAAAATCTGGCATATATTGGGTTAACACTTAGCTAAGTAAATATTTTAATCCACTGCTTTTCTAATTTTTCTAATTTAATGAATATGCCTTTGAAATTAGCTATTCTACTTTTTTTTTAAAGATTTTATTTATTTATTTGAGAGAGAGAGAATGAGAGCCAGAGAGCACGAGAGGGAAGAGGTTCAGAGGGAGAAGCAGACTCCCTGCTCAGCAGGGAGCCCGATGTGGGACTCGATCCTGGGACTCCAGGATCATGACCTGAGCCGAAGGCAGTTGTTTAGCCAACTGAGCCACCCAGGCGCCTGCTATTCTACTTTTTTAAAGATTTATTTATTTGAGAGAGAGAGAGAGTGAACACAGGGAAGCAGAGAGGGAGAGAAAAACTTCAGCAGACTCCTCACTAAGCTCAGAGCCCGATACGGGGCTTGATCTCATGACCATGAAATCATGACCTGAGCTGATATCAAGAATCGGATATTTAACCAACTGCACCACCCAGGGGCCCTAGCTATTCTACTTTTTAAAAATCGAAATTATTAATATGTGTTATGTGTATGTGCATGTGCATGCATGAGAGTGCACATGTGTATGCACACACACAGGCACACACATTCATACCAACATGCCTGGGAATACTATCTCAAACATACCCCCTCCCTTGCATGAAGTCATGAGGTAATAAACTTTCACATATTTAAGGAGTTTTCAACTGTTACAAATCAAATACATTTCTTAGACAAAGATTTCAACGACATCCAGCCTGTTCTTTCATGACCTGCAGCATGATAAAGAGTCAAAGGAGCACTGGACTGAGAGTAAGGATATCATTTTCCTAGTCTCATTTTCACCACGAATTGTTTAACTATGGGCAAATCCCTAAATCTCTCAGAGCCTTAATTTATTCATCTGAAAATTGGAAAGCTGGTCCAAGTGACCTCTAATGTCCCTGCTTTTGGTTTTTGTTTTTATAAATGATCTCAGTATTATCTGTATAATATTGTGGGTATAATCATATACACGTATAATTAAATATATAATACAGTATTTCTGTCCTTCTACTTCTTTCTACATCTGGAATCTTATAAAAATTTCCATAAAATCTTCCAACAATTCTCAACTAGCCACAATATCTATGCCAGAGTTTCATTTAAATACTTTAACTCATTATTTTTCATGCTAATACAATATAATTATGTCCCAAATGGAGATAAATGCTGGGAGAAAAGGAATTACCATAGCTATAAATAAGATTTCATCATAATTTATATTGGTAATGGGCTTTACATGAATAGAAAAAAAATTATGTATTTTACTATGCTCTATTAAACATGTGTTCATGATCCTATGTTGTACTTTAAATAAATATGTTATACTCTTTAAAGTTATATTTGTAACAGAATTGGAAACAACAGTTAACCAGTTAGGTAAGTGAAAAGTACAGTCATTATTTTCCTATGTGATATATAAATAATACTATATCTTGAATATTAGAAAACAGCTTTCTTCAGTGACAATTAGGTAGTTTTCCATGGTATTTAAATTAATTATTTTCTTGACACATAATGTAAGTGAGTAAACCAATAACACTAACGAACAAAAATAACCAACAGTCACCGATGAATTAAGAAAAAGAGCATACCTAATAATCGAAGCAGCATAAACTGTATTCCCAATGCTAGGGACCGCTGCCTGTGATGAACACACCTGGAGATATCAAATACATATTAAACCAAAAGTGGTTGTATCATATATTTGCTCTTTGAGCAAATTTATTTTTATACCAGCTTAGCATTTCTGGATTAAAGTAAATGTTATGTGCGTGAAATAAACTATTTGTGACAGCTTATATACAGTTCAACTTTTCTGTAATTATAAAGAAGAAAAATGATATGTGAACTAAAAACACTACAAATATAAGTAACACCAAAAAGGGTCAAATGAAGTTTAACAAATGTATTGAATATGTACGAACTGTAACAAATGTAAAAAAGAAAGGACATTTATTAATAAGACTTATTTTTAACCATCCCTTAAGTCACAAGCAAATAATTCCTACTCTAATTTACTAACTTTGAGATAGAAGTCATATCTATGGGATAAGGTACAAATCTGGGTCAATGTAAAATAGTTGCTGAGGCTCAATCTGATTTTAAGTAATGGTTATCAAAGATGAATAAAACATGACACTGGCACCCAAGAATTTGGAGATAAAAAAGATCAACATGTAGTTGAAAGGTAATGCAGATAATTTTTCAAAAATGAAGTTTTAAAAAAGCATTTTCTTAATTCTCTAAACAACTCCAATGTCCACGTAGGATAATGTTAACAGACTATTTAGTGCTTCTAGACAGAGTCTCTAAAATTTCCAATTGACAAAAACATGTGTGAAAGGGTAGTATCAGGGAACAAAAACTGAAGAGTAAAAAAGCTACAGTTTGTTAGGAAAGTCATAGAAAGGCTGATGAACTTATGAAAGCGCAGACAGAAAATAGTTTTATCAAGTGATGTAGAAGGAGAGAGAGCAACTTGAAGCTCAAAACACTGTTAAGACCCAGGTGACAGCTAGCTTCTCATCCAACAGAGCACTGTTTACAGGAAAGCTGAATATCACAGCACCTACTACATAAGGTAGAATTCTGTCATTCTGCTTCTGACATATGTGGAATGCACTGCATTTCCATCATACTCAAACACAGTCCAACAGCTTCAACTGAAGGGTTATGAAAGAGGCAGAGAAACTAAAGTCAGGTATATTCCAGGTAGGCAATATCAAGATATTTTCACATACATAATCAAATTTAAACCTCATTCATCTGGGGATCAATGAAATAGGTTTTCCATCCCATGGAACTAATGATCTTAAAAGAACTGAATTAGTATTGGAACTAGTGGTCAATAGAAACCCCAAATGAACCCTTGAGTCCATTTTCTTTTCACCCAACATGTCTTAGGGATGGCAAATTTCACAATATAATATATACCTTAGGATGGACACAGTTATAGGAGTACCAGCCATAAATGTAAAGATAATTGTAGCAAACAAAATGCCAAGAAAAACGGGCAACTTTGCACATCGATTTTCACATTTTCCAGCTTTAGCTTCAAAATCAAAATTTGCCAAAGTAGGTGTCATTTCTATATTCCTTTCAATACAGGAACAGTTGTAATATACCTAGAAATATTAGACAAGAAAATATTGAAAGTATTTATCTTGAAAACATATTTTTAAAGATTTATTTATTTATTTATTTGAGAGAGAGAGAGAGAGAGAGAGAGAAAGAGAGAGTGCAAATGGGGGGAGGGACAGAAAGAGAAGGAGAAAGAGAATCCTCAAACAGACTCCCTGCTGAGCACCGCCCAACATAGGGCTCCATCCCAGAACCCTGGAATCATGACCTGGGCCGAAATCCAGAGTCAGCCACTTAACCGACTGCACCACCCAGGTGCCCCTCTTGAAAACATTAAGTTATGTGATCTCTAGACACGGCAAACATTTTACACAATCTTAATCTATACACAAAAAATAATGCTGAGAAAGAGTAATTAACTCTTAAGAAATTAAGTGAAAATAAGGGGCCATATTTATGACCTGTATTTGAGTTTCATGTTCATTGTTTCAAATTGTAATCTACTATTGACTCATGACTTATAAATTGACAAGAATATAGCAATTACCAGATCTCACATTCTACACTACTTTTAATGGATCATAATTGTTCAAATAGTTTTCCATTAAAGAAGGCAAAGAAGCATAGAGAGTGACAATCTCACTCTCCACATTAGTTCGAAAGGACGAACACTGTAATTTTAACAAGCGCCACAGTCAAATCAACTAATACATCACAAGTCTCTAGGAAAAAAAAAAATGCTACTTTCAACTAAATTACTATAACTTTCTGAACTTTTTGTAATTGCTTTACTAAAAGCAAAACATATTTATAACAATAAAATGCCTTCTACCATAACATATTTATAACAATAAATATGCCTTCTAACATAACATATTTATAACATAAATGCCTTCTAACATAACATTTATAACAATAAAAAATAGAAATTATTACTTCATTATCCTGAAAGCTATTTTATATGTAAATATAAAATATTAACTATTTAATATATATATACATGTAAATTAATAATATAAAGTGTTGAAAGGTAACATGTTAAAAGATCACAAGTATCACGTTTATAGGAAAAGAGGGTTTAGGAAGTTCGTAAGGCATAATTATTTTTTAAAGGTCTTTTACACCTCAATTCTATCCTTACTATAAATCTTTTTACAAGTTTAAGGCCTCAATAAAGTTAGAGTAAAGCCAAAGAAGTCAAAGGGAAATGGTTCTTTTATTATTCTGAAGGCCAGAAACCTTTTTTCAGTGCTAAAGCTAATCTAAGGCTGCTGGTATTGATTCAGGACATCCAAATACGCAGATGACACTCCCACAATGGAATATTACATGCTCAGCAATGGGATGTATCAAATAATGAAGAAATGTAGCCTTTTAAATTTTTAAAATAAAAGTATTTTCTATCTCGATGTAATTTTACACCTCTCTTACATAAAAATGTATATAATTTTCCTTGCCCTATAACTATACCTTGCTGTCAGTCAATATCTGTTTTGTTGTTTGGGTCATTAGTGTGAAATATAAGACTAATATTTCTGTGAACAAATGTACATAGGTATTTACTATACTATTATCAATGCATTTTGCCTATTTGAAATATGCCATTAAGAAAAAAAAATCCTGTGAAAAAATGAGTTGTTACATGGACTAAATGGACATGAAAAAGCCAGGACAAATAGAAAATATGGAAGTCAAAATAATTTGTTTTTCCTAAACAATCCCTAGAAGACAATTTGCTAGTTAAGATGGCAATTACAGTATTTGGAGAAAAATATAAATATCAAATTAATCATATCAAAATAACCAATACCATTTAAAATGTGCTCTGGCTATTAGATTTTTTTTCTTTTTTTTGGGAGGGGGTTTCCATATGCAGGATACTATTTGTGTCTAACATTTCTAGTTATGTGACTAAAACCCTACAAATATCTCCTTGTGATCCTTTTCTAAGTAGAGTCAGTCAATAACAATTATTAATCATATTTTATACACAAGAAAATAATACCTACATACCTGCCTCTCAAAGGAACAGTTAGCTACCTTACCGGTAGTTCTGATTCTATAATGTGCATCATGTTCATTTGTGGAATTCGATTCCTTCTGACACAAACACCTAATTTTCTCAATCTGTTTTGAAACTAAAGCAATCCCAGATGTCTACTGGTTTGAAGGCATGATAAACTTCAGACTTGAGAGCTCAAAAATCTTCTTGATGTCTTTTATTTTTCATAGGCACCTAACGGTAATGATCTAATTAGTTTTATCCCAAGGATTAAAACTGCACAAATGGCATCCAAGTCTATTAGGTCTACTATGATTCACCATTTTTCTGTCATATTTTTTAAAGTTCTTAGATGATCATTTAAAAAATCTATAACCTAGGTAATATGAAAAAATATACATTGTTTCTCATATTCTCACACTTCTTGCAGGAAGATCAAATCCTAGTATGTGCAAACTTCTACTGTATTTATTGCACATAAAATCATTAAAGATATGCATATATATGTACATGCACATACATAGATTTATGTATGTAATTATGAACATACAAATGTGTATAACCACACACACACAAACACATCCATGTTAGTTTTAGAAGAAATCTGAAGTAATTTTATGGATTGTTTCAATTATCTATTTCTACTTATTTACATAGAAATCTTTTCTTACAATCTTAAACTTCTCTTTATATGGGAAAATGAATGCCATTTCATTATTCTACATTTCAAATATTCAAGATTTTGCTGTTTTGTCATGTAATTCTTATATATCTTATTCATTGTGATCTCTTATATCATAGTATAGATTTCCCTCAGGTCTTCTTAAAGTTATCACATTATCTATTAATGCATAACATATGTACTACAAATAATCTGAATGTTATTTTTTCCCCAAACTCTTAAATTTAGCCAAGATGAAATCCAATAAAATTCTATGGGATTCTCTTAAATCATTTAACTGTTAAAAACATCATATCTAGGTAAACTAATATGCATTCTAATCTAGAATTAAAAGTAAATTTGTATCTGAGAATTAATGATTTGAGTATTTTAAAACGAATCCATGGTACATCATATCAAAGCAATAAATATTTATTATGCTTCCATTATATACACAGTATTTAGTAAGAATAGAAGTTCTCGGACTTCTAGGGGCATAAAGTATGGCTGAGAAAAAAATTAATATAAAAATGTAAATAATATTTCACTACTATAACAGAAGTAATGTACAAAGATGGATGTGAATAACTGCAAAATTGATTTTTCCACATTCAATGCATCTGAGATATAAAGGAAGAAGAGTCTTTCAGCTGGAGTGCTCAAAGAATAAAAAAAAAAAATATATATATATATATATACATAATTAAAGTAAGAACGCTTTGCATAAGCTCTACCCTCTTAACAAATTTAAAGCTTACATTATTGTTGATAATAGTTACAATGTTGTACAGCAGATCTCTAGAGTTTATTCATCTAACTTGACTGAAACTTTACCTCTGGCTTCTGAATGGAGGAGGTAGGAGAGCAAGGGAAGAAGAAGCACTACATAATTCCACTGGAGGAATAAAGATGGCCATCCATACATATACAAACACACTGCCTCATTAAAGTAAAGTAGAAGACACAAGTTACCTTCAGATGTCTTTTTGAAATATAATTTCTACAACCTGCAAAGCAGGGAGAAAAATACTGGATTCCATCTCCTCCACAGACAGGATAATAATATGATCGCAAGCAGTTACAATTGGCATTACAAGGAGCGGTCAAGTTTCCCAGTTTTCCTGTCCTGTGAACAAGAAATGAAATAAGGGCAAATTATCTATGTTATAACTTCTAATGAACAGTTCAGTAGCATTGCTATATCTTGCCATTCAGTCAATTTACTTGCTCAACACGTATTTAATTACTGAAAAAATAAAACAAATAAAATGTCTGCCTTTTCACATAGAATTTAATTTCTTATGGGAGAGAGAGGTGGTATAAACAATACTTATATAATGTATGTCAGTGATAAGAAAAATAGGCAGAGTAAGCAAATAAAACAAGGTTTCTCATTTGGCACTAGATTATTCTTTCAAGGGGTGGCAGGGAGGGGCTTGATGATCTTGTGGATTGTAGGATGCTTACCAGCATCCCTGGTCTCTACAAACTAGATGTCTATAGCAACCCTCAGTGATGACAACCAAAAGGTCTGCAGACATCAACAAATTTCCCTGGGGCGTGGGCAAAATTTTAAACCTAGAAGGATGAATAAAATAATGGTATTCAACATACTCATTTTATCAGTGGGAAAACTAGGGCCCAGAGAGATTAAGTTATTTTTCTGTCTTTGCCAAATATTCCTGGTTCCCAGGCTCAGTTCTGTTCCATGCTGCTGCTTAATAGGACGCAATATCTTGGATAAAATAAAGGATTACCTTAAGCAAAGACACTTCTCCAATCCCTATTTATTCATTCATTCAACCAATAAACATTGAGCAAATGCTGGGCCCTAGGCTAGGTATCAGGAATACCTGCCACAGGTTGCTGCTAGATTTCTTTATCAAGCACTGTTTTTCTCACAAAAGAAAGCACTTTGGTCTACTTACAACTAGGTTACAATATAAATAGAGAAGTACAGCAACTAGAAAAATACTACCCCTTCAATTCTAGAAACAACCTCTACACAAACATTTTTAAATTTAAATTTTCCAATGTATAATTCTCACGTTATGAATAAGTGACTACTGAGAACATGAAAATAAAAGACAGTATGATGCAAACTTCAGTAGAAACAGAGAAATATGGCATATATTCCTTATTTTCAAACCTATATAAGCCACTTAAGCCTATATATTTTATAAGGATTTACTGCATGAGGTAAAGGGGAACCTGTTATTAGGAAAATAGCCAATGCTTGCAAACTTTATTAAATGGTCTTAATATATACATAGTATTTTAAAAATATACAAGATATTTTAAATTTTAAAATTTTTGAATATTTAAAAATATATATATGTGTATAAATGCACACTTTCATATATATGAGTAACACATTTATCACAAGTAGAATTTAAATGCTAATTTCTTTTTTTTTAAAGATTTTTTTATTATTTATTTTGAGAGAGTGAGAATGAGAGAGAGAGAGAGTACATGAGAGGGGGGAGGGTCAGAGGGAGAAGCAGACTCCCTGCTGAGCAGGGAGCCCGATGCGGGACTCGATCCCGGGACTCCAGGATCATGACCTGAGCCAAAGGCAGTCGCTTAACCAACTGAGCCACCCAGGCACCCCTAAATGCTAATTTCTTATTTGAGTCCAAACTATCCTCTAATTATTCCTCTACCATAAGCAAAGATTTCCCTAAACCTATTACAACATCCTAATAGGTATGTTTCTTTAAGGTGCTGTTTCAGATAAGCAAAGAAATTCTAGCTAGAGACCAGATAGAGAAAAAATACTGTGTGTACTTACTACAGTATTTCATATTTTATGAAGTTCTAAGTATAAAGTAAAACACAAATCACCACCACCAACAGATTACCAAAACAGAGCCAAACTGCCTAAAGATTGTCAAGGCAATAAAAGAACCATGGGAAGTTTTAATAACCAACAGATTCTAGAAATGACAGTCTCTTTTCAATTGCTGTGTCCATATTTAGCATTTAAGAATGAATTCATATAAAATGTTATAAATACTAATAATATCCCCTGAAAGAATCAGTATTGTTGATCTTAAGTTTTTTATATATACTGTTTAACAGGGTTTTAAATGAACTTATCAATAAGTCTAACTTATTAGTACATAGTCGAAAAAGCTGTTTTTAACCACCTGTGATTACATGGCAAGGGCAAAGACTCTTTGCATCACTCTACTAGAAACTACATTTTCATAACTTCTTCTTTCTTCCACTAAGCTTCTTAATCTAGTCTTCTTTCCATATACTAGTTTTTCTTATACATGTTTCCTGGATGAGGCTATACTGACTAAGCTGCCCATGCTATGTACATTTTAATATGCAGCATGCAGAGATAAATTGAGAATTTGGGGCCACAGAGAAAAAACAATGTGACAATGTCTCACCTCCTTTGAGACATTAAACTCTCTATCTCTATATCTGAACACACACACCCCTCAAACTGGCACCTTGTCACTTGTCTTCCTTCCTGTCCATAGGCTAAAGACAACTTATTTGGTAGTAACTCATGTTTAAGGTTAAAAAATAGAAAACTGATTCATATCTACATCATTCATTTTTCAAGGTGATTAACTAGTGTTATACTATCCAGAACTTCCTGTTCTTCTAAAAGGAACATACAAAAAAACAAGTGGTTTCTCGGGATATGTTTGGTTAAAGTTTGTAGGTGTGCAAGTCAGATCTGCAGAGCTTACCTCCACCCACATTCAACATTTCCAGATACTTTTTTATTTACAGGCACATGACCTAAGTCCCATTTAAACCGGTTCCTGAAGACCTAGCCTTTACTTTCTAGCATTTATGGCTAACATATTCCCTTTGCCTTTCTCTCTACTCAAAGCTCTTTTTATCCTTAAAGGATATGTAAGCCCATACCCTTCCTGAATCTTATTAAAGGAAACTGAAAAGCTCTCCTTTTGAATTTCATAGCCCTTTGTATGTCTCTCATTACCTAATGCATTGTTCATTTACCACTTTGTTTCCCAATCTCTCCTGCTACATTGTAAACTCCTTTAGAGTAGAGATTTTGTCCTAACGGTCAAGGATGTGGTCAACAAATGTTGAATAAATGTAATGGAACTGACCTTAACATTGCTTCAGCATGCTTAGCGTCTCATTAACATAACAGAATGACAGAAATGCATAGCACCTGCAAATCCTAATTGTTACCGACAAACTCATTCAAAGTACATTCTATTTATGTTCTCTGAATGCCATATTCTACAAAACTGTGGAGGCCTTGACCTGGATGGAGTACCAGCTCCCTCATCAGTCTCAAACACATGCAATGAAACAATTAAAGCAGCATTGCAGGCTATAAATGCACCACTGTGCAACGCCCTCCTGCCTGATCCCCTAACTCATGGTTTAGGATTTCAAAACCAAACAAACACGGCAAAGAAATAAAATGATCACATCACTTATAGGTAAAAACATGTTTACTGGTCAGAACAAAAAGTCATTTATTTCTCTATAATAAACATGAACTCCTACAGTAGAAACAAAAATAATTAATTAATTAATTAATTAATTAATTAAAGTAGAAACAATAATCATTAGTATAACCTAGGACTAGCTTCATTTTAATTTCTCTCCTGGACTCTTTTCAACCCACCTAATACATGAATTTCATCATAAGGAGTCACCTCCATTTTTAAAGACTTAAATCAAAGGCAATATAAAATGTAAAATTCTCCCTAGGATGTGAATCCCTTCAGAGCTAAGACTCTGTCATATTCATATCTGTATCCCTGAATGTAGTACCCAGGATACAACAGGTGCTCCTTAATTGCTCTCCAAATAAATACCCAACATTTAATAAGATGTAAATTAGTTAAGTGAAGAAACAAAACAAAACAAACCTACATAATTTTTATAGGAAAAAGTCTTCCAATTGGGATGGGTTAGCCCGGTGATGGGTATTAAGGAAGGCACGTATTGCATGGAGCACTGTGTGTTATATGAAAACAATGAATCCTGGAACACTACATCAAAAATTAATGATGTACTGTATGGTGACTAAGATAACAAAACAAAACAAAAAATAAAAAATAATAAAATAAAATATAGCCAATCTTTCATTATTTGATTCAAGAAAGCATATACTTCGAAATATGCACATCACTTATTACCCTGATATTAATACCAAAAAGCACTGAAATATATTTACCCATTATACAATTCAGACACACCGGCAAGTGGCTCATTTTCACAGTTGGCATAAACAAATACAAAACTCAGTGCAAACGCAACTAAAGATGTGAGCAAAGCAAACTTCATAGAGTTTTTACATGTCATTTTGAGTTTTGAAACAAGGACACCACCTAAAATCTGACCAAGAGCAGCTCCAGGAATTAAAACAGCCCCTGATGAGAAAGAAGACACAGAGTGAGAAAACATACAAGTGTACTCAGTTACTCATATGACAATTGGAAAACATCAAAAACAAGCACAGTATTGTTTTAACAAATACTATCGCGCAATTTAGAAACCTATAAATAAAATAGTGGTTATGTCAAGAGATTAATAAAATTAATGTGTTGGATATTAAGATCAGCAAATATTCTCTTTAGCTACACATCCTGTGTACCTAAAGAGAATCTGTATTTCTCATTCATACAACAGACTAAAGTCAGAAAATAAGAAACTTGTATGAAAATCAGTATAGTTTAAATTTTAAAAAGTGGGCTATCCAAAATGATACACTATTCGAATAAACATTTAATGTGGTAAAGTAAAATTATTAGATTAAACTCAAACAAAAAGAAAAATGGTTTACCTGCAAGCGTGGCTGCAAAGCTGGAAGACAATCCAAATTGATTTTCTATAAATTTAGGTAAAAATGTAGCAAACCCAGTAGTAATTAAGGCTTCTGAAGCAGTTGAAAGAACTAAACACATAAAGACAGTATTCCGCATCAAATTCTAAGGAAAAAACATAGTTCATCAAATGAATAACTATGATTATACTGCAAAATGTAGCATTTGAATAGCAGCATGATGAAATGACTAATTTTTAATAAATACAATATAATTATCTACAAAATTTCAGCATTTTCTCCAATACAAAAGCATAACTATGGAATATTAATAGCTTTATATATACTATGTTGAACAATTTATACGTGCAACACCTAGAGAACTGACAGGTGATTCATCAGGAGGGTGATTGTGCCTTATCATATGCAGGGACTGGGTAAAGGATTTTAAAAGCCAGCTTGGAAAGATTCCCTTCCGCAGTCTACTATAAATCTCCAAACATTAAATCTACCCCTTGTCTGATTTATTTTACTGTGTTTTGAATTTCCATGTCTAGTAAATGAAGAAGTCAACTACAAGCACAGATGAGAATGGTCTGTAAGTTATCAAATTTATATTGTTCCATAAGTAAAGGACTCAATAGTTAAGAACCTTAGGTAGTTATAATTTTAAATATGGATTGCTGGACTTCTCAATCTTTTTCATCTATCAGGGAGACTATAGAGATTAATAAAGCCAGTTTATCTAACCATAAAGTAAAACCAAATTATAGTTCTGGAATATTAAAGGCAAAAAAATTTCAATCAAACAAAATACACACATGCATGTACACACCCACACACAGGAGTGATGAAGGGGCAAGATAGTTAGAAGTCAGATCCAGGTGATCTAACAGAAGAATAACAATAGTGACAAAAGGAGAAAAAGTACCTGAATGAAAACATTCACTATTTTTTAAAAATAATAATAGCAGAAAATACTTAAGTCTTCAGATTAAAAAAGATAATGGATTTCTGTCAAGGATTAATGAAAAAACACATATAGTGAGGTATAACCTATCAAACTGCCTGAAATTAAAGATAAATGAAAAAATGCATGAATTTGTAAATGGAGATAAAAAAGAATCACACTAACATGAAACTTCTCAACTACAACACATTTAAGTAGAAAAGAGCAATATAACACCCACAGACTTCTGGGACTAAAAGAATATAACCCGGAAGTGTCCATCTAGTCAAAATATCATTTCGTATTCAAGGATACTTAGATGGTATCCTGCCTGAGGAAAACTTGCAATAAAATACCGTACCCAGAGAGATCCGACTGAGAATTGAGACTTCGAAGCATGAAACCGTAGGAATAAAAAAAGCAGCAGGGAGTAATAACCCTTGATGGCAATATACATAAGAATTTATAAAATAAATAAAATTATTATAAAAGAAAACAGTAGTTGGAACAATCTCAGCAAAACACAAGAATTTGCCTGCATGGGAGAGAACAGAGAGTTGAAAGGTGTGATAAATGGAGTAAGAACATTTTAAGTTTTCATTTAAGGGGGAAAATAAAAATAATTGAAAAGTAAATAATTTCAAATCTTGAAAAGGTAAAATTATAAACTCCTGTATGTATAAAACTTTTATGATCTAAATGGAAAGAATGTTTTTCTGAGGAGTACAACAGAACAGACCAGAACATTTGTTTCTTCAACCTCAAATTCAAACCAAGTAACCACTAACTGCCACTTCTTTCACAACAGAAAAATATTGGTTTGACATTCTCAAATATATATTTACAATTCAGTGATAACTGATCGATCCATTACATGAGGGAAATGGCAAGGAACAATGATTGGCTATAACACTAATGAGGAACCACTGAATAATGATATTAGATATCAATAAGTTAATTCATGTTCTTTTAACCGTTCTACCCCGGAATAGTTCTCATTTACTCAAAGCATAATAAAATTAAATCTGAAGTTATTTATTTATAAGAGCTAGAACTATAGTAAATAGGCAAACAAAAATGCATCATGAAAATATTTGTGTGTATATATGTATATATTTATTCATGTATATATGTAATATATACATATATCTACCTATCTATATGTGGAGCAGGGTGTGTGTGGGGGGGGGTGTGGGTGGGTGTGTGTACAGTGTTATTTTACCTTTAGAGCAGCTGGAAAATCTTTCAAACTTGTTCCAAAATTCTCCTCTGTGTGTTTTAAGGAGCTATGCTTTTCCTGATGAGTCTGGCAAGTTCTTTCACTATGGATTTTTGCTGTACCTAAAAAAATAGTAAATGTACTTGCTCTATCACTTCATTCTTCATTTTTTTTAAAGATTTTATTTATTTATTTGAGAGAGAGAGAATGAGAGATAGAGAGTACAACAGGGAAGAGGGTCAGAGGAAGAAGCAGACTCCCTGCTGAGCAGGGAGCCAGATGCGGGACTCGATCCCGGGACTCCAGGATCATGACCTGAGCCAAAAGCAGTCGCTTAACCAACTGAGCCACCCAGGTGCCCTCATTCTTCATTTTTTTAAATGCTTGCTTTTTAACTGACACACACTTCTACAAATATATAAATTCTGTAACATAAGAAGCCAGTTCCTCTCTTCGTCAACCAAATTGCACAAATTATCTATGTATGTAATTTGTCTGTCCTGAGAGCTAGTATTATTCCTATTAGCTAAAGAAGTTCCAATCAGTCTAGAAATTAAAATGAGACAATTTTGTTCCAATGACATATTTATTCCATTTACAAATATCTCTTAAATTCTTTTCTTCCTTTAAAATGGATCTCTTTTTCATCCATCATCCATTACATATTAAACGAAGTATGTTTGAGGCTCTTTTCCTTTACATTCTTTTATTCTAACATGCTTTGCAAATGAAATATTTACCATGTATTACCATGACCCTTTGATTTTTAATAATGGCACTGTCAATAAATCTGAGAAAACAGCCAATGTATGGAATTATAAGTTGGATGGCCCAGGGTAGAAAGAAATCAATGAGTCCACCTATTTCTACTCTGTCAACTTTTCTTCTGCCCATTCCGAAAAGTTAATCATCTATCCTGTTATACATAACAACAGGAACAACTATTTAACTAATTTCTGCCTACAGAAAATACTTCAACAGATAATGTATTTGAACTATATGGTTATATAGAAGCAAATTTTTACAGAGAAAGGAATGGATATTCTTTTCTCTTAATCTTTTCTTTTTTAGGCAAACTAATATTGAAATATGGTGAAAATGAGTGCTGTGAATTGTGTTAGACTGTTGAATCACAGACCTGTATCTCTGAAACATATAATACATTATATGTTAAAAAAAAAAAGAAGATAGTAGGAAGGGAAGAATGAAGGGGGGGAAATTGGAGGGGGAGATGAACCATAAGAGACTGTGGACTCTGAGAAAGAAACTGAGGGTTCTAGAGGGGAGGGGGGTGGGGGGATGGGTTAGCCTGGTGATGGGTATTAAAGAGGGCACGTTCTGCATGGAGCACTGGGTGTTATATGCAAACAATGAATCATGGAACAGTACATCAAAAACTAATGATGTAATGTATGGTGATTAACATAATAATAAAAAAAAGAAAATGAGTATACTGCAGTATTACTCTGGTGACAATTGAAAATAAAGTACTTGTACTCTCATCAACAAATAACATCAATGATTTAAGGCAGATTGATTGTTGGTTAGTGAGGAACTGAATGCAAACTAATGGTTTGAATTGAATGCAAACTAACAGTTTGAAAGATCCTATATCTTGCATATACATAAAGCAAGATTCCAGATAACACATAATACACAGGAAACAAATTTATTATTAAGTGTGTATATATACATATAAAATAAAATATTATTAACATGTTATATATTATAGTATTATATAGTATATATAATAATATATTAAGTTATTAATAAGTTATTAATTTATTATATTATTAAGTATATCTATACTAAAAAAGTGAATGTAGACAAGTTTATTGCTTTTATTAATTGGAAATAAAGGAAAACCATGAGTATTAAGATAGCTACACAAAATTTCCTAAAGACAAATACTCAAAAGTTAATATAGGAAGACAACTGAAATTCTATAAAACAATGAATTTTCTAGGATTCTTAGAAATTATAAGCAACCCTTGGCCCAGAATTGGAATAAAATTCCCTGGTTTTGAAGAAAATATGTTTACCTGGTAAATGTTTTGGAAAGCATAAGAAAGGTATTATCAAAGACCAAGCAAAGAGCCAACACAGAAGAAATCCAATCCACCACGCCCCCAGCCATCGTGGATCATCTTCAGTGATAGCTATGCTATAGGACAGAAAAACAAAATGTAAAAGTCAACTCTACCTTGCTCATTAAAATGCAGTTATGATAAGTACAGACTTTGTAATTCAAGTGCATATATAGGGGAATAGTATTATAGTACCCAACATTTTAAGTTAAGTTGAGCCATTGTGATGAATCAGATAACAGGGAGCAGGGATAAATGAGAGCTGTAAGAACAATGGTTTACAAAGTATTTCATATGGCAATATAACAGAGAAGTGCAAAATATTTAATAGTAAATACAGGTATGCTGAATATCTGAAAGCATACATAGAATTTCTGAACATTGTTTACCTAACTTTGGCTAAGTTTTTCTTCTCCACTATAGTGAGTACATCTTACAGCAAATCACTGATCGATGTTAAAAGCCCATACACTGTGCTTCGATTAAGGCATTCATTTAAATGTAAAATTCATTTATTTTATTTACTTACCTATTTATTGAGGTATAATTGACATACAATATTATATTAGTTTCAGGTATACAATATAATGATGCAATATTTCAATATATTACAAAACGATCACCACATTAAGCCTACTTAACATCTGTCACCATATAGTACAGAATTGTTTTTCTTGTTTTGAGAACTTATAAGATTTACTCTCTTAGCAACTTTCAAATATGCAGTCCAATATTACCAACTATATTTGCCATGTTGTATATTACATCCCATGACTTAATTATTTTACAACAAGAACTTTGTATTCCTTTTACCCATATCACCATCCCCCACCTGTGGTAACCACGAATTTGTTCTCTGTATCTACGAGCTTGGTTTTTTGTCTGTTTTTGTAGATTCTGCATACACATGAAATCATATAGTATTTTGTCTTTCTCTGTCTGACTGTAAAGTTCTTCTTAAAGTAATTTAGTAACAGTATTTTATAATGATTCTCATAGTTTTATATCAATAGGTTTCTCCCCCAAACACACCATTCCTACAACTCATGTAATTCTCCACTGAATTTAAAAACCTTTCTTAAAAACTCAGCTGTCTGCTTCAAGGACTTTCTCTGTACATTTTTTATATAGTCTCTAAAATATTAACCTGGAACTAACAGCTCAAAGAACAAATCACATATCTAAAATCACATTTTCTTATTCATTACTCAGAGTCACACATAGGATTGTGCAGTTTTGATTCCTAGTGGTAAAATGAGAAAATATGGCCTCACCAAAGGTTACTAACTTCTCTATATTCAGGAAAAAGAGAAGGTAACTTAGTGGTTAAAAGGAATTGGGAGTCAAAAAGATCACTTTGAATTCATGCCTTAGCCACTTACCAACCTCTGTGTATCAATTACCTAATAAGATTATTAAAAGGATTAAATTAAGTGGTATGTAAAATAAAGTAACACACAAAACCTATGATATATATAAAATAGGATGGGATAAATAAACATTACCTAGTATTATCCTCTATGGCCACAGTTAAAACCACACAATTGTGATTCCTCTGACCATATCAGAACTACTACAGAACTTAGTCTGAGAATCATAGACACTTGAGGCTTTTCAGGCTATCTACATCCAGCTAAATCTACTAAAAGAACAACCAATTTTGATTAAATTCTTCTTTCTGAACAATGCATGGGGTCCTAGATATGTATGTTGAAAAATTTCACAGGTGACTTTTATGCATCCTTATTTATGAATAAATGCATTATACTAGGGGGTGGTATGGCATTAATTCATGAAGCAGTGCAGCTAAAACATTATAGAAAAACTGTGTGTATTCAGTTTTGTTTCAAATACTTTGAAAATGTTCTATGATGTTAAAATCATTAAAATAAAATAAATTTAAATAAGAGAAGAATAGATATTGCCTTGCCTTTGTCCCAAATCCACATCAATGTACAAGGTTAGCAGCTGTCCTCCCAATACATAGCCAACAGCAGGGCCTAATATTGACATAGAATAGCCAATTCCTAGAAGAACAAAGACATTGAAAATGGTCAACTGTACAACTTTGCTATGAATGTCTTATAGTAGTGAAGAAATATTTTACTGTAAAAATTTGAAATGATTAGAATTACGACAAAATTATGCATTTTCCATAAAAAAGTACAATTTGGTACCACTTGTTAATAAGTCAAGGAACTTAGGAATATTTTTAAAAATAAATATAACTATAAAATATGCTTTAAATATATATGTAATTCTATGTAAAAGTTGTTAGACTATAATAATAATTGCAATAAATCCAGCAACAATAAATTCAGAGAAAATTGCATTATTTTCTGTTGCATTAAATGGCAACAGAGGTAATATATCTACGATTACCCTTTATGGATGATGATAATTACTGTTTACAGTTCTTATGGAAGAAAATAATGTGAAATGAGAAGGCTTTTCCACTCTGTACACACTCTAAAAGCAATTTGTATTTTGCTCTACAGCAGCTGATTTTAAAGCCTGGATTTGGTGATTAGCCTGGTTCATAAAAGTAAGCCATTAGTTTAAACTCCTGCACTTAGTGAATCTTCCATTTCTACTTGCAGCAGAATTAAACTGACCTTATTTCTCTCAGATATTTAAAATTTTGCCATATGTAACATTTAAATTTTTGCAAAAAATTATGCATACATTAGTATCTTCACATATTACCACCTTCTGAATTTTTTATTAACTGATAAGATTCTCATTTGCATACACAAAAGAACAGAATCTATCATACCCAAAGCTAAGCATGTGTCAATGGTAAAAATGACTTATGTACTTGACCAAGTTTCCAAAGTAAGGGTCATGAAAGGTGATCTTTTGAAGGACCACTGAGTCAAGATTCTGAAGAGAAAGACCTAAAAAATTAGAACTGATTTTTTTTTTCCTGGGCATATTTGCTGATTCTACAAAAGACCCTGGGAAGGTTAACAATCCTTGCTCTTCTCCAGGAAGTAGGGAAACCAAAGTTGCAGTTCAGAGCCCCTAACTTGGGAGTTATACTTTATAAACTTCCCCCACCCTACATTTTATGTAGGCACCTAGGAGGCTATACTCTAAAAGTAAGGGTGAGTTAGAAGTAGACTTGCCCACAGAATAAGTACAGCTTTGCTTCAAATAAACTCAATCTGTGACATTACAAAGAGGGGATCCCAAATTGTAGAATACAGAATTCATATCTATCCTCACAAACTCTTTATAAGATGGCCCAGAAAGCCCTCTCTTCCCATCTGTCATGTGAGGACACAGGAAAAAGATGAATGTCTATGAGGTAGGAAGTGGGTCTCACCAGACACTGATTCTGTGAGTACCCTGATCTTAGACTTCTCAGCCTCCGGGGCTGTGAAAAATAAATTTCTGTGGTTTACAAGCCAACCAGTCTATGGTATTCTGTTATAGCAGACTGAAAGAACTTAAGACAGTCCCAGAACAGAAAACAGAGCAGGATGTCCACAAAACTCCTAACTGCCTTCAGCTGAAGTACATGTGTCAGTAAATGATGAAACAAAAACAGTAATATTGCTGTATCTGCCATCTACTGGGAATCTAATGGAAATACCCATGAAATTACAACTAACTTTTTAATAAACATCTATTATATTTTTACTTATAAATTAAGCAATAAAATGAAATGATACTGAAACATTTATATTACAGAGAAAACTTACCAATGTACAGAGAAGATTTGTGTGTGGGAACAGAATCATCAATAAAGGCTGTTCCCAGGGTATAGAGAGGAGTTCCTCCTGTTCCCAGCAATAGTTGTCCCAAGATGAAGACATACAAGTAGTTAGAAAGTGAAGAACTTGAAGAGGCACAATTGGTTCTATTCCTTGTTGTTATGCAAGTATCTTTGGGGGTAAAAAATTAAATTGTGAATTTACAGAAATTTAGCTAATAATTGAAATATCTATTTTTATCAATTATACTTGCCTAACAACCTTCTTTATTTCTTTCAATCACTTCACTTTGATTAAACTGTTCTTAAAATACATACATTACTAAAGAAAATTAAAGAAATATTATCATGTTAAAATTTAGACAATGTAGAACAAAACTGAGGAACATTAAACGATCAAAATTAACAAATTTGGAGTAAGTTAATATAAACACAATTGAAGCAAGTGGTGCCAGGGAAGTTTTCAGATTAAGGAAAAAAAAAAAACTAGCCTTTATTTTTCTTTCCAAGTCATAAATACAGTATGACCAGCATACTGAATTTGTCAATCGACACCCTGAACACATGTGAAAAGCATACTTAGGTTATATGATATTTTGGTCAAAACAGTAATTTCTTAATATTCACTACAAAGCCATAATACTTAAAGTTATGTCTAGTTCTTTCTTGTAGCTCAAACTATTTTATCAAATTTATTTTTAAGCAACTTTTAGCCCTATAGAATATTCTTCTGAGTATCATCAAAAGAAAAATGGTTATTTTTAAGATTTGATTAAAATCTTCTTAAAAATCACATTCAAAGCCTGGATAATATAGTAAATCCATATTTCCTAAACTCACCTGATAATATTAATGAATAAAGATGTTTGTTAAAAATATATGCCCAGGGGCGCCTGGGTGGCTCAGTCGGTTAAGCGGCTGCCTTCGGCTCAGGTCATGATCCCAGGGTCCTGGGATCGAGCCCCATGTCCGGCTCCCTGCTCAGCAGAGAGCCTGCTTCTCCCTCTCCCTCTGCCTGCCACTCTGCCTACTTGTGCTCTCTATCTCTCTGTCAAATAAATAAATAAAATCTTTAAAAAAAAAAAAAATATATATATATATATGCCCAGCACTTTCTTTCCCTTTGAAGCTGGTATTATCCAGAAACTGCATTTTAACAATAGCCTTAGATGATTCTATTTTCATTTCCTTAATAGCAGATAAAGATGTATTACTTCCTGAATGATGAGATGAGTAAGACCCCCAAAGCACCAATCCTGAAGACTCTTTAACTGGTCCATGACCATCAGATTTTCAGATGCAAATTTTATGCATAAAATATTTATTATTTTTATTTTAAAATTTAAAACATACCCTATAATTTTGTACATATTCATATTATAAGAGGTAAATGAATATTTTGGCAGATCATTTGTATTTGTAATTGGGCTAAGTCTGAATTATTTGTCTTACCTCCCTGGCCACATCAGACATTTGACCTATGACTTCTGGTTTCAATATTCACTTTTCTGGAGGTAGCAGATTAGACTAAAACTAGTCTCTTATTATTTGATACATTGCACAATTAAACATACTTACATGTATTTCTTGGTTTATTTTTTTCCTATTTTTCTATAATAGAGAAATATCTTTCTGTAGTAATCTAGTAGATATCTTGACCATGTGAGTATTCTGTGGGGTTTTGGTGTTTGTTTTTTCCCATAGGAAGTAATCTATGAGGTTTCAAGATGTTTGTTTAAGTAAATTTTTAAATAGCACAGAAGAAGATCAAGAGAAATACAAAACTCTCCCTTCCCCCTGCCTGCCTCCACTTTATGCTCTTCCATATAACTCATATGGAGGTAATGACCACTGTTAACAGTTCCTTTTATTTTTTTTTCAGACATTTTCTCACACATTCACACATTTTATATCCATTTACTTTTTTGACACAAGTATGGTCATACTAAACATACTGTTCTTATACTCAACAACTTCCAGATTTCACTTATGTCCTGGACATCTTTGATGTTGGAATTTGATCGTATTTAAATTTCTCTGTTGGCACTGCCATAACATCCCACAGCATAAATGCCATATAACTTACTTAATCCACAACTTACACTTAATAACTAATAACATAACATTTATTATTATTATATTGTACATATATTTAGGTCATTACAAACATGTTGTGATATGCATTTTTGAAATTTCCTTGGCATATTTATGCAAGCCTATCTGTAGTACAGTTTCTAAAAAGTGGAACTGCCAGGTCAAAGTGTATAAATATTTATATTTTGATATTGCCAAACTGCCTTATCAAAAAGTTAAACAAATATGCAATCACACCAGCAATGCAATAACACTTTGCATAATAAAATTAAATTACTATCAGTCTCTCTGGTTAAAAAAATGTGCGCACATGTGCGTGTATATACACACACATATTTTTTAATTCAAATTTTTAGGCTCATCGGTACAATTAAGCATTTCTTATATGTTTATTGGCCACTTGTATATATTTTCTATGAATTTTTCAAATTTACTTCATGGGTTCTGATTTTGATATTTGATTTATGAAAGTCTCCCCTTCTCCAAGATTACATATAAATTAACATGATTTTATCACAGAATTTTTCCTACTTTACAGTTGACCCTAGAGCAGTGCAGGATTTGGGGTGCCAGTCCCTGCATAGTCAGAAATCCATGTATAACTTTTGACTCCCCCAAAACTGAACTACTAATAGCCTGCTGTTGAAAATCCTTATTGATAAAAGGTTGATTAGCACATATTTTATGTTTCATGTATTATATAGTATATTCTTATAATAAAGTAACCTAGAGTAAAGAAAATGTTAAGAAAATCATAAGGAAAATACATTTATAGTAAGTACTGTACTATATTTATCAAAAAAAAACCTCTGTATAAGTGGACCCACACAATTCAAACTTGGGTTTTTGTGTTCCTCAACTGTATTTTTAATTCATATGTAATATAGTTTAGTGGGGAAAGACTGGGATGCAGTAGTCTGTTGGATTAACCAAAGATTATCTTTTACTCAATTTCTTGGGTGTGGGTTTATTTTTAGATACTTAGTTTTATGTTACTGATCTTTGCAGTCTTTCTCTGGACCAAATCTCTTGTAATTACTCCAGCTGTCTAAGCTTTGAGATATCAACATCTCATCCCAGCTATGACCCATTTCACAGTACTACATGAAAGGCATGGTAACAATTAACATCTTCTTCTATCATTTTTCCCAAGTAAACAAGGCCTAAGAGCTATTTATGAAAACTACTCTATCCAATATATTACTCTCTGTATTATTTCTGAATAATTTCTTTCTATTGCTTTTCTTAAAATTAGTAAAAAGAAATGCCATATCAAGTCACAGAAAGGCTTGAATGAATCTTAAATATATACTGCTAAGTGAAAAATCCAGCCTGGGGAGGTGGGGTTAAGATCACATGGTAGTAGGAGGACCCCACGCTTGCCTCCTCCCTCCAACACAGCTAGATAAAAATCAAATCATTCTGAACACCCAAGAAATCAATCTGAGAACTGAGAGAATGAACTGCACAACTAAAGGGAGAGAAGAGGCCACAACATGGAAGGTAGGAGGTGTGGACATGAGACGTGACTTGGGGGTAAAAGGATCACAGGTGCTGCAGAGGGGAGGGAGCCCTGATGATGGAGAGTGGAGAAAGAGAGAGCAAGGGAGAGACAGAAAGAGAAAGGGAGCAAGCACACACAGCATGCAGGGGATCACACAAGAAAAACACTTCCCCAAAACCAATACCTGGGAAAAGGAGAGGGGCTGATTATTGCTGAGTTTTTACAACCAGTGGAACTCAAAAACTGGAGTTTTAGAAATCCTTGCCATGGTCAGTGTGGAGCCCAGCAGGCACAGTGGTGCTCCTGGGGGAGAGGGCGCAGACATCATGATATGAGGATCCCCTGGGACACACTGGGGGAGACAGTTATTCCTACTTGTAGTGCATTTGGGAGAGGTGGCATTACCTCTCAGGGGACAAACGAGACAGCGGGCATCATTGTGCTGCCCAGTCCCTTAGCATAGGGGCAGAGACACACCTGCTGAAAGCAGCTAACCTGGACACTGTGTTTTACTCTGAACTCCAAGTTCCTGTGAATTAGTCTGGGACAAACGCCACCAGCCACAGCATAGGGAGGCCCTCTTTCAGAAGACCAGCATAGTCTGTGCTGAGCCAGGTCCCTAAAGTTTAGAGTTTTGAAACTCAGCTGACATGCCTGAGATAAAACACAGGTGTACTGCACCGCCAGGAGGGTACACAGTCTGGACACAGAGAGGATGAAGGCAGGGATCTGAGGAATGCCTGGGACACATGAGGAGAGAGTGATCATTCTTTCACGAGGGCTTCCCAAACAGCATTAGGCACAAACTCTGAAGACCAGAGAGGGGGCTGGAGCTATTTTTCTCCAGCACAGACTAACTTCAGTGAGCAGAACAGGGCCCACAGTGAAGGCCTCAGCCGCTTACACAAAGTCCCACTCCCCCCAACCTCCCACCCTCATGCTCTGCAGGTGATTCTTTACTAAGGCAAGCATGCCCCAGAGCAGCACAAACCCAGCACCCTTCCCCCAGAAGACCAGCATGAACCTCCCACAGGCACCAAGTCTACTGACCATAGAGTGCTGCAAAGCTTCAGCTCTAGGGGAAATAGGATCTGGCCCCTTTTAACAAGCAGACCACAGCACACCTAGTTAAAACTCTCCACACTCTGCATAAGATCCAAACACTCCCCACTGCAGGCAAAGAGAAACTCTGCAGAAGACTGACCTGAGGGAAAGAGCAGCCAAAATACAACAGCAGAGTGCACACACCATACCCCAGAAACACTGCCTAAAGTGCCAGGCTGTGGAGGTTATAGGACCTCTTCTTCATAAAGCTATTACTCTCAGAAGCAGGAAACATAGCAGGCTTTCCTAACACAGAGAAGACAGAGACCTAAACAAAATGCGAAGGCAGAGGAATTCATCCCCAAAGAAATAACAATAAAAGGTCATGGCCAGGGATCCTATCAGAACAGATGTAAGTCATATGCCTGAACCAGGATTTAAAACAACAATCATAAGGACACGAGCTGGGCTTCAGAAAAGCAAACAAGACACCAGGGAGTCCCTTACCACAGAGATAAAAGACCCCCAAA